ACTCAAGCCTACGTTCATCTTCCCCTAACTTCTATCATCGAGAAGCAATAGAAAAAAAGGAAATAAAATCATGAAGCTCACCTCTTCCAGCATAGTCAGCAGGGCAGCCTGTCTCTTCTGCAGCTGTAGTACGTTGAGAGAACTCATCGAATGGTCCAGCAGAGAGGAAGCAGAAGCAGTTTCTCCTTCCCTTAACCTTCCAATCTCTGTTTTTTGCTTCGAATTTCTCATGAACCCTCCAAGGTCACAGAACTCGCTGAGCAGCTCCCGTGCCGGAAAGAAGTATTTGGAAAGCTTTAGCTTTTGGCTTCCACTAACTACTGAAAAGAACTTTGCATCATTAAAAAGGAAGTTTTGCTGCTGCTCAAAAGATCCGTGGAAATCAACAGCTGAAGTTGTCTGCAAGTTGTAAAGCTCTTGCCTTTCGTTGCCCTGAATCCTGAAATTGCCTGCCAATGAAAAGACGGAGTAGTCCATAGCTGCGGCTGGCTGGCCGTGAAGCTCTCGATCCATTAATTATTGTTATGCCTTTGTTGGGATGAAGAGGGTGGAGTGGCTCATCAGGTATTAGCTAGCAGAAATCGTTTTCCACTGAATTTCTATTTCCTGACTTTTAGTGGAGCTTATTTTGACTCTGCTTCGTTCTGGTAAGCTTTTCAGAATGGCCTCTGCGGCTTCTGCCCCTGTTGCTGGCCGAAAGACACCTACTTGCTTATTTCATGGGGATTTGGGGTAGAGAGGAAGTCGGAAGTGGAGTGGATGCTACTGGAAAATTATTTCTGAGATTGAGAATTGCTTCGTCTAAAGATTAGGGAAGAGCCTTTGCAGTGTGGTCCTCTCCTTGTAGGAAGTATTTCATTTAAAAGTGATATGGGACCGCATTCAACAGAAATATTTATATTATTTTAGTAATTTCATTATTGGTATAAAGTTAATAATTCTACAGGCTGGTGGGCGTGTAGGTCATGGCTATAAATTTTTTGTTTTACATCTAGAGGGAAGGGGACTTGATTTTGGTTTCTTGATAAAATTGGTGAAGTTAAAGTTTATAATTAAATGGGAATTGTTCCTTCATAAACTTATCAATATTTTTTATTAAAAACATCATTTGTTGATAAAAATATTGTACATAAAAAATATGACCGCATGAATCTTGAAAAAATTAAATGGACACCAAATGACTGCATTGAGATATATAGTCAAGAGATGCACCTAATCTGAAAAACAGTTGTTCATGACCAGTTTCCTTAGCCGATTCCAAAATTTTTCAAAAGATAGTCAAAGGACACCCATCAGAACACTTTTATGGTTCTGAAAGAAATCACTATGTCCAAGGAAAGTTGGCCATCAGATTACGTTGATGTACCCTCCGCTTGATCGCCCAAGTTCACCCTGATGACAGGAGGGCATCCAATTAGGCTTCCATCAGAAGGTTCGATCCATGACCTTTCAGTCGACCAAATATATGTCGACCGACCAAAAATTTCAATCGATCAAATGATAAGATTAATGAGTCATTAAATGACCATCTTCCAACAGTTATAAATACAAAACGATGCCATTGTCAGTTATGAATTTGAAAGGGTCTCGGAGTTGGTTACAAATACTTTATTAAAATAGAGATAAATATCTAATTTTACTAGATACCCCTAGAAACTATAAATATCGGGTCATTTCTCTGATAAAAAGCTACTGAATTTACTCTTTCAGACCTTAAGTTTTTGTGCTCTTAATCCCTCTCACAGCCTCTTCCTCTATTTCCCTTGTTCGTCCATTGCTCTATACCTTAAGTGTGATCTATAAAAATAATTTGGATTCAACAAATATAATCAAAACATACTAAGTTAAATTTAATTCAAAATATTTTTTCATAAATTATTGGATATGCTTTTTTTTGCCAATTTAAGTGCATGTGATTTGCTCTTTATTATGTAATTATATTCCTCTCCTTTAATCACTTAAGAACCTACCAATTTAAATTCTTACAACCTAAATTTTAATTACCATTTCATTCCATCTTGCTCCAGTAATTACTTGAAGAGGTAGTTAGAAAAGTAATGTTGGCATCAAATTTTGATATTGCATATGTGGAATGTTCACTTGAATGCTACGGGACTGTATTTTGTTCACTCAAAGTTTCATATAGTCTAAGACAACAACTAAAACTGGCTTCGATGTGTTTTGAGCACGGAATTAAGGTTGGTACCGATTCAACTTTATCCAGGAGAGCTCATCGTCAGATGACGATAATTCTGACACGGGACTCATTTAATGTCCGTTTTTAGTGTTTAATGACCATGCTTCATCCATTGGAAGCCTCCTATAATCAAAGGCAGACACAGAACTCTGCCATGTGTGTTTCAAGAAAATTAGTGTTCGGATCGACCCCACCCTTGTTCAGTTGCTCTAATACTCTTGGGTCTCTCACAAGTATACGTGTCGAATTTTTGAGTCAG